ACCCCCCCCCCCCCCCCCCCAAAAAAAAAAAAAAAACTCGTTAAGGAACATACGGGACAGAATGGTTCGGAGTCTCTCGCTACCTAACTGTCTCGCTTACAACCTCCGAAAAAATATCGGCTTCGAAAAACCAAAATTAAGAGTCCAAATTAGGAGAGGTGTCCGCAGACACACCCTCCTCCCTCTTCGTCTTTTTTTTGAAACAAAAGAGCATCCTCCCGAAAGGGTTTCTTGTCATTCATTCTATTCAAAAATCGAAAAGTCTCACGAGAAGAATTTTTCGCCCCTTCTCACCCTGAATCCGAGTTAATCGTGAGAAAATCGTTATAGGGAGTGAAAATTTCATTCGAGATATCCGGAAATCCGAGATAAGCGAATTCGAGTTAAACGGAGCTTTTAACATGGTGTCCTTCGGGATTCCGCCGGGACCAAGCATTGAACTTTGAGATAAGCAGAATTTCGACTTATCGGGATTCGAGTTAACGAGTTTTCACTGTACTTCAAACAATGGCATCATGATCTCCTCCTCATACTTCACAGGGGGTAGGAGGGGATTGTCAATCAAGAGTTGTCAGTGTCTTGTCTAAAACAATGTTCAAAGATTTTTTTCCCATGATCCTCTGTATGGAACTTATCTTTCCGCCTTCCTCGGGATCAATACGCCCCTACCTCCAAGGTAATTATAGGCAACCGGACCTAATCATGTCAAACGTGGCATGTCACACTTCAATTACTTCATTGCTATTGAAATCGGTCCAAAGGACAGGCGAATTAGCAACAAAATCCCACGCACCAGATCTTATCTCAAGTGACTTTTTTCTCACGTTTTCCTTCGAATTCCCGAAAATAATACTCCTTTCGTTGATCCAACGTTGAAGCGTTCTGGAATCTTGGGAATTTTCTTCATCTTCATGTTTTATTACGTTGATAGATGTGATATATTTAATGCATTCAATGGTTATATGTCACGTTAGGAAAATTAAACAGCATTCGTTTTTACAAATAAAAAAAGAAGCCACAAGAGATATTTGGAAATATGCATGTGGGCATTTTTTCGTACTTTGCAGATATGGGCGTTTATTCCGTGGGCATTTTTTCTTGTGGGCGTTTTTCCTGTGGGCATTATTTCCGTGGGCATTTTTTCCGCAAGAGATATTTGGAAATATGCATGTGGGCATTTTTTCGTACTTTGCAGGTATGGGCGTTTATTCCGTGGGCATTTTTTCTTGTGGGCGTTTTTCCTGTGGGCATTATTTCCGTGGGCATTTTTTCAGTGGGCGTTTTTTCGGGGCACCGTTCCATCTCCCGGGCTTCTTCATCGACATAGTGAGAGAGTGTGTTGGATTGCGACCGTGATTGCCACGAAGGGCAGTCACATCACGACCAACGTGCAACGGCTGGATGTAGCTAGGAAAGGGTGGCTGCTGTTCTGGGGCTTCACCGAGGGGAAATATGTTACGTAAATTGTCGCTTGTATGAAGATTTCTCGTTCAAATTGTCAGTCAGAAGGACCATAAGAGTTTTCGTTTCCGTTATCTAAGAGTTTAGGTGGCAAAGGTCCACATTTGAAGCTGACTTCTTTTTCGTACCGGTATCCTATACTGTATATCTTCGCTGATACGATTCCCATTTGCTACGAGGATAATCGGGCGAATGCGAATCATCGACTGCTGGAAGGAAACTAGGTGTCTACATTTGAACTCAATATCCACCCAATTTATGCAAATGCTTCTTGTTTCTGTTATATCCCATCTTATAAATATAGACGATCGTGACTGACTGACGGCATATTTTTAGGGGGTGACGTTTTGAAATAATTTTTTTTTGTCCACTGAATTGTACAAAGATGGAAATGTGTAATTTGGCACAGCAATAACTGAGGTGATGGTGAGTTCAGGAAAAATTTAAATTTTTTGGTGCATACCATGGGGGCACAGCCTTTGGCTGTATCGGCTTTTCCAAATATATTTTTGCACCAGCAATAAGAGCAAACAGATAAGGTTGAAACTTGGTTTGCAGGTAGTTCTCCGAGTACTGATTTCAGTAAAAATGTTAATTTTTGCGTAAAACGCTTGAGGGCATATATTTTTTTGCAAAAGGTGCATTTTCCGGAAACTTTTCTGACTCAATGAAGGAAAGAACTAAAGAAAGTTGAAACTTGGAGCAGAAGTACCTGTTCGATTGCTGAGTACTTACTTTTCAAATATGACCCCTCAGGGCAGATCATGAAGAGATTTGAAGTTAGGCACACAAGAAACAATGGGAGTAATTATTCCGATGAAAATATCGGTTCGTACTCTCTCGATACACATTCAGAAGTCCATATACTTTTAATAGGTTTTAGCTACTTTGAAAACAAATTATTGA